TATATATTTTTTTTTTTTTCCCCAAGTTATGCATGAATTAACATTTTACTATTCTCCCTTTATGAACAGCGAGAAAGAATTATTTTCCCCCTGACCTATTTAATAGATCAATTGAAATTACTCGGTTTTCCCTTATTCCCTAATACGAAACAACGCAAGATTTTCCTTAACTTTAATGGAGGAGCACTTCGATTTTGTGCTAGCTCTTTATGAACATGTTTTTTTTTATTTTTTTATTTATTTTCCTAGGCGAAAGAACTTCGAAAAACAATGTTAAAACAATTGTACTATTAAGAAATTAGATCATATTAATTGGTTCAACAGTTAATCGTTTTTTTGAACCGTAATGTGTTTGAAATTCTCTGTAATTTCAGTAACGTTTTAAATTATTGACGTTAATTGTCAACTCAAAATTAAATATCAACAAAGTTACTTGCACTTTGATTGAACTTAATATCCAATTGCAGCAAATTCACACAATTTTATGCCTTTAAGAAGAATTAATAAAACAAATTTAATAAATGGAACTAAAAGCATACCAATGTAAAATTAATTTGAAACACATATGAAAAGGAGTAAAGTGTTATAAAAATTTGGAAAAATATTTGTTTTGAACATTTATTTTGCTTTTTTTTTAACTCTGCATGGTAAAAAAGAAATTCATTAAACAAATTTTTAAAAGTAGAAAAATATTTAATTAAATGATTAAACCTTTGCTGTTGTTGGCTCTTCCGTTGTTGAAGTAGTTGGCTCTTGCGTTGTTGAAGTAGTTGTTGGCTCTTGCGTAGTTGAAGTAGTTGTTGGCTCTTGCGTAGTTGAAGTAGTTGTTGGTTCTTGCGTAGTGGAAGTAGTTGTCGGTTCTTGTGTAGTAGAAGTAGTTGTTGGTTCTTGTGTAGTAGAAGTAGTAGTTGGTTCTTGAGTTGTTGAAGTAGTAGTTGGTTCTTGCGTGGTTGAAGTAGTAGTTGGTTCCTGAGTAGTTGATGTTGTAGTTGGTTCTTGGGTAGTTGATGTTGTAGTAGGATCTTCAGTTGTTGATGTAGTAGTGGGTTCTTGAGTCGTTGACGTTGTAGTAGGTTCCTGAGTAGTTGATGTAGTAGTTGGTTCTTGAGTAGTTGACGTTGTAGTTGGCTCTTGCGTTGTTGAAGTTGTTGTTGGTTCTTGGGTAGTGGATGTGGTTGTTGGCTGTTTAGTAGATGTGGTAATTTCTGGTTCAGGCTTCAAATTAAAGATATACAATATTTTTATTTATTTTTAAAATTACAGATTAATATATGCAAGCAACAGAACTTACCATTCTTATTTATATCAGGACTATGCGCCTCAAAGCAGAAAATGTAATTTTGAGAAACCTTCTATTGGCGATCGCAACACTCGAATACGCCATCTGGGGAGAGACCGGTTTCATGGCTTTAGCCCTTCTCCCTTCGCTCTCCTCCTTTTTTCAGTTGTATAGGAATGTACTACGATATTTTCCCTTTTCTTAATATTTTTCCTTTTTATTTAATAGAAAATATTTTTTTTAAATTTCCGTGATACTTTTCTTTAGAACTATGTTAACGTAATTTTCAGTTCGATATAGTGTTCCAATTTAAAGATTTTAATCAATATGAAAATCAAGAGAGAAACTAACGTACTTCCTTCCTCTATGACTTTCCACACGCTAATGGGGAAAGCATGGGAAGTGTTGCCATAGGAAGAGAGTTCTACTCTACGCCACCTGCAGCCCATTTCGATCGCCAATATTACCAATGTATATTTCGTATTGAAACTATTTTGAAACTACTCAGATAGCAAAATATAGGTTTATTTTCACTCAGCAAAAACCTTTTAGTTTTTCTTCTTTTTTTGTCATATGCCTGTTTAGGCAGTGGGGGTGCGATTGTTCCTGTTTTTCAGTGGCGCCATCTATGGCCAGGAATTCGACTTCTGTCAAGTCATTCACACAACCACAACCCGTTTATAGGGCGGGTCACATTCACACACAAAGGAGAAAGGACATAGAACACACACAGAGAGAAAGAAACATCCATGCCTCGCCCGGGATTCGAGCCTATGACCTTTCTGATGTAAGGACAGTTCCGTGCCCCCTACACAGGCCGGTCGGCAAACCTTTTAGTGTAAACCTAAAAAGGTTTTTTATGCGGTTTACGTGTTTCTAACCTTAAAACGAGATCTGTGCCAATCTACTCCATTCTGCGCACATTACCCTCATCCAAAACCTTAGAAAACAACCTTCTATATAAAAACCTTAAATCGAGGTTCACTTAGGGTTTTCAAGCGAGAAAAAATCCTTTAATAAAGCTAGTCTCAAGGTGAAAATAATCTTAAGTATTGGTAATTATAAGGTTTCTTTCAGCAACGTCTAGTTTGTATGCTCAGCTAACATCCACCTTGTTACGAAATTTTAATGGACAATGCGATTTTATACTATAGCTAGTGTGACGTCAGCAAGGGCGCCGGCAGCGGGGTGCAAGGGGGTGCACTTGCACCCCCCTGGCTTTTTTTAAAAAGAATTAAAGAGATACAGAAAAATTTTGTTATAAAATTTTTTTATTAAACTTATTTTTATGGAAAAACAAATAATTAAGTAATTATTGATACATAAGAATTAAAAAATTATTTAATCAAACAAGAATTGTAATCGTCTCGTTTGCTGTCCAAATCTGTTTATAACTTTTTCAATGAATTCTGAGTCATCTTTGATTCTTTTCTTATGTGCGCTGAGCATTCACATACTTGGCAGATATCTAAGCTATATTTTTAAATTTCATTTAATAAAATGTAAATAATATTATATTTTCTATTAGTTATTCAGTTTAACAAAGGTGTATAACACTGACTGACTTCTCGCAGCTGTAAAACTTCATCAACACAATAAATACCAATGTTAAGCATGCACAAACACGTTAGTATACGAAACTACTGTTTGTAGTTATTTGTGTTTCAAAGTCAGTAGCTATGCCAGCGAGATCGACTCTGGGCAAAATTTGCAAGTACAAGAAATTCGTACATTTTTTTTAAATATCTTGCTAACAATGAAGAAATGTATCTTGAAAAAATGAACAGATGAAAGTATATGTAATAACAAAACAAAATGTAATAGCAGAATATTTTAATTTTTTTTCGGGGGGAGGGGAGGGTAGTTTGTTAGAGGGTTGCACCCCCTTTTATATTATTCTGCCGGCGCCCTTG